ATAGATTTTCCATGTTCTTTTTTACAGCTGCATATTCCATTGTGAGGACAAACCATGATTTATTTAACTAACCCCTACTGATGTGCATTTGGGTTGTTTCCAATCTTTGACTACTGCAAACAAAGCTGAGAGAATAACCTGATTCAATCATCACTTCGCATATGTGCAAGAGTGTCTGTAGGATAAACTCCCAGAAATTGAATTCCTGGGGCAAAAGGTATATGCAGTTAAATTTTTTATAGATACTGCCAAATTGCCTTCCATAAGAGCTAAGCCAATTTACACTCTCACCAGCAAGGTACAAGAGCCCCTTTTTCCTTAAGATTTACCAACAGAGTGTATCATCAAAGTTCTGGATTTTCACCAATCTGAAAAATGAAAAATCGTTTTTGCATCCTCCTCATTATGAGTGAAGTTGATCATCGTTTTATATGTTTAAGAGCCATTGTACTTCCTTTTCTATAAACTGTTCATAACTTTTGCCTATTTTTCTTTTGGATCTGGGTGTTTCCTTATTAATTTCTAGGAGCTTCTTATATATTAGGGAGACTAGTCCACCTATGACACGAGGTGCAAATATTTACCCCAGTTTGTCTCTTGAATTTGCTTATGGTAATTTCTGCCTGCAGAAGATTTTTATTTTGATGTGATCAAATTTATCAATCTTTTAAGTCTTCTGATTTTCAAGTCATGGTTAGAACAGCTTTCCTCATACTAAGATTATAAAGGAATTCTCCCTTTCTCACACTTAAATTGTTTCATTTTCCACATTTTACTAAATGGAAAAACAGTATAGTAGTTAAGATCACAAACTCTAGAGCCAAACTGCCTACTTCATAGCCCAGATTGACCACTTATTACCTATATGACCTTGGATAAGTGACCTAATCTCTATGGGCCTCAGTTTCCACATCTACAAATGGGGATAATAATAGTTACTACCTCGTTGGGTTCCCATGAAGATTAAACATAAATGTAAAGTAATTACTACAGGGCCTGGCATATAGTAGGCATTCAATAAGCATGAGCTATTATCATCATATGTCTTTTGGAACTTATCCTGGCATAAGATGTGAAGTACAGATCCAACTTGTTGGGGTGTTTTTCCCATATGGCTACCCAGTTGTCCCACAACCACTTATTGAATATTCCATTTTTTCCCCACTGATTTAAGATATCACCTTTATCATATGCTACATTCCCATATGTATTTAAGAATTTCTGATCTTTCTATTCTGATCCATTGACCTATCATGGTCAGTACCAGTAACAGTACACAGACCAGTACCACACTGTTTAAATTATTAAGCTTTACTTTTACAATCTGGTAGGGTTCCCTTCTTTTACAATTACCATAACTATTCCTGTTTATTTTTCCTATGAATTTTTTAAATTAGTGTGTCCAGTTCTAGAACAAAACAAATATATCATTTGCATTTTTATGGAAACCATATTACCTTTAGAAATTAACTTAGGAAGAACTGATATATGTTTCCTGTTCAGTCTTCCCATCCAAGAACCTGGTATGTCTTGCCATTTGTTCAAGTCTTCTTTTGTGTCCTTCAGTAGTGTTTTAAAGTTTTCTTCACATTTGTTGTGGAGTCAATTCCAACTCCTAGCGACCCTGTGGACAGCAGAGCAGAACCATGCCCGGTCTTTTTGCACCATCCTCTCACCTTTGGGTGCTATATCAGACAATGCTCCGCTGCTATTCACAGGGTTTTTATGGCCAATTGTTTTGGCAGTGGGTGGCCAGGTCCGTTTTCCTAGTCTGTCTAGTCTGGATGGTCCACTGAAACCTGTCCACCACAGGTGACCCCACAGGTATTTGAAATACTGGTGGCATAGCTTTCGGCATCACAGCAACACATATCATACCACATACCATGACACAGTATGACAACCAGACAGACGGGTTCCCTGACCAGGAAAAGGAACCCGGGTCGAGGCAGCAAGAGTGCCAAATCTTAACCACTAGCCCACCAAGGCTGGCTTTTCTTCATATAGGTCTTGCATATATTTTGCAAAGTTTATTCCTAAATTTATTTTGGTTGCTATTATAAATGGGGTGTTTTCTTCCAATATATTTTCTAACAAGTTGTTTATACAGAGTAAAGCTATTGGTTTCTGTCTAGTTAAGTACATACTCTGACACCTTACTAAATTCTCTTGGATTTTCCAGGTATGTAATCTTATCATCTGCAAACGGTGTTAGTTTTACTTTCTATTTGCCAATTTGTACATCTCTAATTGCCTTCTTTCTGCATTGGCTAACACCTACAAAACAATGATAAATAATAACCAATCACCCAAAGGAGGCCTAGTCATGTTTTGATCCACTCTAGGCAGCCTGGGAGGAATTAAATATTAAGAAGTTTGAAGGATTGAATCTTACCTTCTCACAAAGTAGAAATCTACTACTAGGCTGCAGTTTATAAAAGGCTCTAAGTTTCCTTAAGAATACAAAAAAACAGGGCCAGCCCCATGGCGTGCGGTTAAGTGCTCACCCTCCGCTGCTGGCGGCCCGGGTTCAGATCCCGCACACGCACCAATGCGTCACTTGTCAGGCCATGCTGTGGCGGCGTCCCACATAAAGTGGAGGAAGATCGACACTGATGTTAGCTCAGGGCCAGTCTTCCTCAGCAAAAAGAGGAGGACTGGCATGGATGTTAGCTCAGGGCTGATCTTCCTCACAAAAAAAAAAAAGGAAAAAGGTAGGATTAAAGCTAAGAAGATAACCCTTCACACCGAAAGTATTTGGTAATAGGGCACACCTGGTACTAGGCTGAGTCAGACACTCAACAGACAGGCCTTGTCTTCTAAAATCAGAAGGTGATGCTTTTGTCACAGAACTTTTGAGAGAGTCAGGGAGCAAATAACAGCAGACACAGATAGAGGTAATACAGAGAAGTGAAGAGCTGTTAAACAGATTAGAGGTTGGAGTAGAGATGAATTTAACTTTCAAAACAATAATATTAAGTCCAGAAGCTTCAAGCTTACAGCCACTGAAACCCACCAGAGGTAACACTGCCCATTTCTGGGGCCAGTCAGAACTTTCAGGAACGTGTCAAGGCAGGAATAGTACCAGGAGTGGAGATTAGAAAGGCCACAATCTAAAATTTAAATATTTGGGGGGAGGGGGAGTCCCAACAACTGAACAACAAGGACATAGGCATTGCAGCCTTGGCCCTATACCAAAAAAGTTTACTGGCCCAGATACAGAGATGAACACACAGCTATATAAAAAGACAGAACAGCCTGGAAAAGAACCAAGTCCTGAGGTTTCCCAGTTAAGAGTTAATATGTGGATATGCAAAAGAAATCGTTGGCTCGTTTCTGTCTTGTTGGTTATCTTTACCAAAAGCGTCATTTATATAACAAGGAAATGATTGGGAAGACTTTGGTTAAGATAAAGCAGAATGAAACTCTGGACAATCTTGATCTTGAACCAGTTTGGAAATCCGATCAAGAGTGTTTGGTTCGTTTGGTTTTTAGATGTCTGGGAGGGCATACCAAAAGCACGGTAGTGTATAAAGAGCAAGTTCAGTACAAGCTGGAGAAGTTCAGCATGGAGACAGCATAGCCTTTAAATATCCATTTATAAATCCTGGTTCATAAAAGAGTATTTTTAAGATAAATTCAGACAATCGGGTTATAGTTTAGAGGTAGGTAGAGTCAATCTGGATTTTTTCCGGAAACTCATTCTCTGAACTTGAGTCAAAAATAACATAAACCTTTAGGGCTGGCAATGAGTTGGAGGTGAAGTGATGGGGGCATAGGAAACAGAACTGCTAATACAGTGAATGAGAAACAGGTCACACAGCATCCATTTCCAAACTGCCTCCAATCCAAAAAACCTCTACCTTTTCCAATCTCATATTGAGTATAGTATATGATATGCAGATCCTCACTATGACCCCCTCTTATATATACTCGACAATTCTTTTAGGAAAAGAAAAATATAAGAATTTCTAGGAAATTTCAAATTCAGGATTCATCGGCATTGGGCCATATGTAAACGACTAATCACCACTTAATTCTCCAACATCCCTAAGGCAGTGGTTTACAAACTACGCGGGTGTATTATAATCCCGTGGAGGGCTTGTTTAAAACACAAATTGGTGGGGCCACACTTCGAGAAGCGCTGCCCCAAGGTAATTCTGCTCCAAGTATGGTCCTCAGGTTGGTGGACCTGTGGTGTCTGCAAACCGCTCCGGGTCTGCGACAGAAATTGAGACGTAAGGTTTTGAAAACTTTGAGTGTTAAACGTTACTGGGCATCCAAGCACGTGATCATTTTTCTAGCATTTCATTTTTGTATTTTCCAAAAGTACTGGTATGAGATTGTAAAGTTATTTTTAAGTTTGGGAAGCACAGCTCTAAAACTGACACCTCCACACGACTGATGCACACGGGCAGACTCGGAAGCACAGGGCCAGGGGCAGCTCCTGCCAACTGGGAGAAACCGAACGATCCTGGAGCATAATGGAGGCCTGAGGATCATTCCTGCAACCAGAACACTAGGCTAAGATACAATTTCAAAACTGCAGTTTTCATCGTCCTGTATCATTCCACTGCTTCCAGTGACAACAAAACACAGCACCATCGCTGTTAAGTGACCGGTGCAAAAGAGAAAGGAAAGGGGAGGCACAGGCCCAGCACCGCGCGCGCGCACCTGTGAGAAAAGGCGGAAAGCGGCTCAGCTTTTCCTGCCCAAAGTTTGGAGCCGCCCAGGTATCTGCACCCTAGGTAAGTTACACCAGCAAACTAGATTCCGTCAAAGGGTCTTGTGCTGTTTTAGGGCGTAAGGAGCTAAACAAAGAAAGAGGAGCGACCACGCTGCCGATGCCTCTCCGCGCCTGCGCAGACCCCAGCCTAACGACCCGCCCGAGGCCAGCCCACGGCTTCCTTTGGGACGGGCGGAGGACGCGCAGCCGCCGGGCGCTGGCGCGCGTGCGCAGCGACGAGAGCCGTGCCGTCTGTGCGTGCCCGCGTCCTTACCCGCCACGAGGATCGCCTTTTTCCGGCCCGGCAGGGCTTCCTGGGGGCTGAGGATCTTAGAGGCGTGGTCGTCCATTCTCGGGACCGGGAAGAGACGGTGGAAGAGCTGGCGAGCCCTCCTGGTGCCCGAGAGCATGGGCGTGCGGCTGGCGAGGAGCTACCGGGCGGGACGGCTCCTGTCCGCGGAGTCAGCGGCTGGCGGCGGGCCCGGCGTGCACTGGGCCGCGCGGCGGGTGGGCGGGCGCGGTTCCGCCTAGGCCGCGTGCGTTGCTGGCAGTGGCCGCTGTCGCTCCGGAATCGCCTTGCCTAAGGCGGGGCCCGACGCGCTGTAACTGAGGGCGACGAGTGCCTGGCCCGGGAGCCCCGGCGAGTTTCTCTCGCTCGGCCCCAGTACAAAGTTTCCCTGCAGAGAATAAGTGGGCTGATAGCGGGCGAAGTAAGTGAAGCGGCAGAGGCCAAAAAAAAAAAAAACAACCCTGGCCTTCGATTTTAAAATGGTCCCATTTCACCACCTCGTCCATTGTCGTTCGGTATGCCCAATAAGATATAAGACTCCCTTATGACAATCAGAATGTGTGTGTGTGTCCACTGGAGCCATTATAATGATAAATTATCAAAAAGATGAGTACTTATCCAAAATGAAAACTAAGCACAACTTTCAGATTAGGGAAGATAATTATATATATACACACACACAGTACCTTGATAAACCCATTTTACAGGGGAGAATAGAGGAGCAGGGCACTAATACCACCATTAACACAGTTTCGGTGAACTTAATGGTGCTGTTGGATCGTTCTTGTTTCTGGAATCATGGGAGATAACATTTGTTCCTGTGACAAATTTTCAACCCAAAAAATAAGGTGGGTGGAGCCAGATGGGTGACTTGGGAGTTCCATATGTGAAATTATGGTTTTGCACAAATGTTCTGCCAAAATGGGCGGATAGTCTCAGATGCGGGAGGAAACTTCAGATCAGCACCCACAGAAATGAGAAGGCTTTGACCCAACCTCCCACATGGGTTTAGTTACCTCTCTGTTGTAATGTGGTCTGGACTGTAATATAAGGAGAACCAGAGGATTAGCCCTGCTGTATTGTAGTCTATGACCAGACATGTAACATTCAGTTTAGATTAAAGTGTTTGTAATTTAGATTTCCTCTGGGCAGTTTGCCTCAGTTTTTACTTGTATGTGTTTTTGCTTTGAGATTATACAAAGTAGGTTCTACAGGCCTTTCCTGAAAACACTCCAGGGTGTCACTTCTAGGTTTGTGAAGCCATGGTCACTGCTAAGCATTTGAAAAAAATAAGATCATTCTTCTGTCAAAGGAAATATGTGTTTTCTTTTAATCACTGCCTTTTGATATGTATTGATTTGCTTTTTCTATGTTTTCTGGTTGATTGTATGAAATTAAACAGGATTACTAAGCAACTAAGAACTAAAGAATTTTTCATGTCAAGGAGAAGCACTTATATAATGTTAAATGAAAAAGCACCACAGAGCTGCAGTATGTATATATATGTAGTGTTTAGTGTGTATGAAAATGCATGTGCCTCTACTTGCACACCCACTGAAGAAAGACTAGAAAAAATTAAAACATTGTTTGCCATTTTGTTGTTCAGGGTAATGGTCTACTGATCTTCACTTTCTTTAAACTTATGTTTTAAAATGTTCTACACTGTTATAGTCTTCTCAAGTGTTCCAATGGCTATGTTCCTTTTATTATTATAAAAAATATATTTTTAAATAAAAAAACAATGTATTTCAAAGCTTTTTCTCATAAAATGGGTTTCTTATCTCATTTACGAGAATAGTTGCATTGAGTTTTGTTTGTTTTCTGAGAAGAGAATTAAATATTCCTGCCTCCAATGATGCCATTTTCACCATCAGGACTTACTTTTCTTCAGAGTCTCCTAAGCCCTTCTGCGCGTCACACTGAGAGAGTCTTTTTTTGTCCATACTCCCCTTTGGGCACACATTGCTTTGATTTGCTATTTTTGTGATTATGCTCTGGTTTTCCAACAAATTCTGACAATGCATGTTCTTTAGGATGCAGTCTAAGCATCCTCTTTGATACAACAAAGACCCAAAATACAGCAGTTTAAACAAAATAGAAGTTTATTTCTCTCTTATGTAATGCTCTAGAAATATAGTTCAGCGCCGAGCAGGACCATGTCTTTTCTTCCATAATATCTCAACCTGGAATGACTCACATTAAGTATTCAGTAGTTATGTATTTGGTTTAATTGGGCCAAAACCCTGACTTAGATTAGCAAAAGTTTCTTTTCCATTTGTTCAAGAATGGCTCTGCCTTGCCCCTTGGAGACAACACTTAATACTCTTTTCCAAAACTAGACCTAGGTTTTAGTTGGGATACAAATTAGGTTGATTTAACAGAGACCCAGAGATACTGTATCTGAAACAAGGTAGTTTCGTTTTTCTTTTTTTCTCTGGATCTTGCTGATCCAGAGATAGGTGATCCGGGACTGGTAAGCCAGCATTGGTCACCTCATACATGACCTCCCCCCCAGAACCTGCCATCACATCTGTATCTTAGCCCAGCAAAAAGGCAGAAAGTAGAGGGGTACACATCTCAGTACTCTGAGAAATGTGTCTCAGAGGTAGCACACGTTGTTTCTACTCATTTCATTGACCTGGTTAAGACGTGGCCACATCTAACTGTTGGGAAAGCGGGAGAGGAAGTTCTCTAGCTGGGCAACCACAGATCCAGCTAATACGTGGCTGTTCTAGTAATAAAGGAGGAAGGTGAGAATGTACTTTGGGAGACAACTCTGTCACAGCCCACTCCTCTGGCCACCCAGATATCCATATATGCCCATCTTCTGACACACAGAACACACCCTATTTCAATGGGAAAAAAGCCAAAGTTCCAAGCAGTTACTCATCCAGTTCAAAGTCCACAATCTGAAGATGATGTGCAGTCCTTTACAAGTCTGGAAGTAGCTCTTCATGATCCAGTGATCTACAAAGATGAGGATGTGTTCCCCTCTCCCACTCCCTCCCCCACACCCCTGCTATACAATAGTAAAGGAGGAATATGAAAATCAATTTGCAAAAAGAATGAGGAAAAAAAGAGTAGTCACTGGTCCACAGCCTTACCAAATGTTGCAAAGGGGAAACTTCAAAAACTGCCCAGATGATGGAGTAATTTCGTGGTTAGACCCTAGTTCTGCTTTCTAGAAGGAAGTCCCTTGTTTGTTGCATCAGAAGGTACTGGCTTTACCCACTGGGAGGTTTTTATCCGTGATCTTCCATGATTCCATCTGAAGGGCATATTGAAGAGTATGCCTTTCTGGGAGGCTGCACATCTCTTTTGCCCAATTTCTTACTGGTGCAGTTTTAAAGGACTGTGGGTTACTTCAGAGTCAAATGGACACAAACGTTGGCAAACTAGGCTTGTAGCTTCTTTGTTAATTCAATTTTAAAAGAGACTGAATAGATTTCAGGTCTATTTGTTCCTTTTACAATTCCTCATACAAATAACCACAGCTAAGGATCACAACTAGTCATATTTCTTATGCCTAACTACTCTTCATTTTTGTTTACCAGGTTGGATGTTTGTCCCATCTATCCTGTATCTAGTAACTTAATGGCAGTGCCCTTGCAGCCAGCAAAAACAGCAGGTTTAGTTGAGAAGACAATCCCCTTAATATTATCTTTACGGCTTGCCTGGCTTTCATCATCTGGCAGACAACACTGTGCTAATGGCCCTTGAGAAGGACTTCGAGTCACAGTTTTATCTTTTGCTATTGGAAGTATAATAGCTTTTGGCTTTATCAAAACTAGAAGGCCCTAAATAACCACTCCCAGTCAATTTGTGTTGCAGGCTACAGGCAGAGAACTCCAATCTTAGCAGAGCTTTATTTCCTTCCATCTCTGTTAACAAAATGGCTAGCTTTTACCTGAGTTCAACTTTCTCAATGGACTTTGCTAAAGAAGATGGAAAACAGCCAATACTCTCTCATTGGTCAGAGAATCGTCTTTCCTACCATTTTCCCTACAGCTACACATTCATAGAGCACATGGTCTTCCTTCCAAGGTATTGAGTTGACAATTTTATCAAATGTTTTGTGGCAGCATAAAAACAGTTGCCAGCTTTCCAGCCTGTAAGATCTGTGTGCTTGCTGTCTGCTGCCTGCCAGTTAAACCAATGCCACATATTTTAGGTTAATGATATGGTGTCTACAGAAATCTGCTAGAACTAATATGTTGGTTTAGCAATATTGCGGGATCAAAATCCAAAAAATATTAAATATTTAGGGATAAATGTGACTAAAAATGTGTTGGACCTGCACATCAAAAACTACAAAACGTTGCTAAGAGAAATCTTCAAAGCTCTAGATAAATACACAGATATACCATGTGCACGGATCAGAAAACTCAACATCTCAATGTTGTTAAAATACAGTTTCTCCCCAAAATGATGTATAGATTCAACAATATCCCAACAGGCTTTTTTCTAGATATTGACAAGTTGATTCTAAAACTCAAGTACAGATGCAAAGGACCTAGACTAGCCAAAAACTGAGGAGTCCAGCTCCAGGCCAAAATCCTACATGTCATTTTTCAGGCCCAATCATAGGCAATTACGGAGACTTTGCCTGGCAGGCTTCCTAAGGGACAACTACTCTCCTCACATCAAACTTGATGTACAGGGAGTGTGCCTCAGTGCAAGGGTGAATTGCAGTCTCCTGGAGGGTGTTGCAGTCAAGGACTCAGGCCCCAGTCCAGGCCAGCCATGCTCATAATCATATCTGCATTTCCAGCCCAGGTATTTCCATTTGGAGGCCTCCTTGGGATACAGACTAAGACACTTTTTCTCCCTCTCTCCGGGGCCCCGTCCGTAAAACAGCAGGAGCTTTTGTTCCGTGCTCTTCAGCAGTGAAACAGTTTCCCTCACTTGTGCTGCATGTCATCTGGTTAACCTTTGCACTTAATGTTATTCCATGGGGAAAAAGGGAACAGAAGGAGCCAGAACTTTCCAAGTTGGCCTCTTGCTCATACTATCACAGTAAATGAATAAAGACTTGATTGTTACTTTCAGTTTTGCTTGTCATCTTAATTAACCACCTGACACCTGACAGTTTGACAAAAACAAATTTGAAAAACAACAAAGTTGGAAGACTTACGCTACCTGAATTCAAGACT